GAGATAAAACCCCACTTGCCTCTACTACAAATATGAATCTTTACTGATTGTGACCAAGCCAGATAATTAGTTCCRTCCAGCTTGACTGTGGTCACAGCCAGTAGAGAGTCTACAGAGGCTCTCAGAACCTGTCCGGATTCAGCAACATGCTTGTTTTCAATGTCTGAGGAGTTCATCTTCTTAAACACCTCAAAAATGATTTCAAACAACTTTGAAAAACACCAAATGAAGACAGAACAAAATTGTGTTGTGAGCCAACCTCTATGCAGCCGTACCAGTAATCTGCGTCACACCCGGAAGTTGGGAGAAACAGAGAAAATTCAGCCGCTCCTTGTAGATTTCACAGAACACCAGTCCACTTGATTCGATCTTCAAGAAGGAGAACGAGAAAGCCTTCAGTCACTGAGCGCCAGGTCAAACTCCCTGTGGGGCCCGCAATCAGATTTCTCCAAAAAATTAGGCTTTTGGGCAACACATTTGAATCTGTCAAGGGGGCGACAAATTCAGTCCTCTTCTCTTCAGAAACCACCAACAACTGAGCTGAAAAAGGTGTCTTCAACTATTCATACGATTCAGTTCTCCATACACACTGTGTATGGGAAAAAAATGAAAAAAAGGGGAAAAACGAGCCTGCTCTGATACCAAGAAGAAAAACAGCCTTTTGAGAAGAAAGGACTATTTAGAAAGATGCAAAAAATCAAAAGAAAGTAGCAAAAATCAGAGTTCAAGAGGGGAGAAGATGAAGAAGAAGGTGGCGGCAACTTGGGTTCAGAGAGAGAGATTTTCGAACCTAATCTCTTCTCTTACACCCTTAATTCTATTTTATTAAGTTAAACTTTGGTAATTTACAGAGAAGCCCTTAATTGGGCAGAAAATTAAAAAGACATAACATAAGAAAGAATAGGCCCATTACAGCAAAGAACATAAAAGATAAAAAAGGATAAACAGCCTATGGCCATTCGGCCCATCTTCTCTACAATTGGAAAGGCTTAGGGATAGGATAACAGCTGAAGTGGCTGAACTGAATCACTTATTGCTTTGTTATTTTGTGATTACGTTACTAAGGAGATTCTAAACTCCTTAAAGACTGAAACTGAAGGTGGATTTATTATTTTATCTTTGGATATTTAATTATTTTTTCCACTAAAAAAGTAAAGCAATAAGGCATTCAGTTCTGCCACTTCAGCCATTATCAAATGGCCCCTTGCTTGGACTACCCTTTAGAAAAGAATAGAAATGAGTTAATTTCTAGGGAATCCTCAGGTGACCTTATCCTAAACATGTTAGCATCTAGAATGATTCCTGTCTTTATATCAACAACTTTTACCAAGAATTTATTGCACCATATGTCAAATACTATAAGAAGCAAGTACGGGTCAATCATTCGGAATCTGTGTATTTGGGGCATCTGGGGCAGAAGAAATTTTACTTCCACCACCCCCAGGGTCTGCTCTGATCCAACCACAGTCTGAATATTTGAGTGCTCAATCTGAATAACCATTTGGCCTCAGGTACGGGGGTGGTCCGACATTGGCACGGAAATTGATCAGTTCAGGTTTGTCTCAGATGGAATTGGCTGTAGAAGTCTATCCTTTACGCCTTCAACTGCTAGCAATGCCAAAAGGAGAACGCGCTTCTGTGAGAATAAGCAAGAAGGTATGGTTTTAGACTGTTGTGCATTGATCTATGTTGTCTTCACAAGTTAAGGCTATTTTATTTGTAAAGAATGTATAAACATCAAATCATTTTTGGCAGGAAACAATTGGTGAACTCCACAGAAGAGCTTGCGAAATATTTGACCTTAGTTTGGAACAAGTAAGGTTTCATTTAGCTAGTCATTTCTGTGTGCTTTCAATCATCTCAAATCATCATCATCAGCATGTTTTGCCATTCCGTTCTGTTCAGTGCCCTATTAATTGTTAAATATGAGTGCTTAAATAATTTCTTACTACTTTAACTGATGTCCTTTTTGATCTACTAGCTCTTCTAGCCTCTTCAACAGAACTTTTGAAAACAAAATTTCCCAGCAGGACAAAATATCCTGCAATGCAGCAACAAAGATTCTCTCTGACAGGCTCTACTAACACTGCAGAAGAACAAATATTTTTGTAATTAGTATACTTTATTCCTTTTGAACACACAAAGCATTGAACAATTCACTGTAATGGAAGTTTCTCCCTTTTTCACATCATAATACAGTTATACTTTATTGTCCCTCAAAAAAAAGTTACAAATAACTACTTATGGGTGCTGTAGATAGATTCCTCTGCACATGACCAAACCATTTTATTCTACTTTCTCTCATTTTATCACCTATTGGAGTTACTCCTAGGTTCCTCCTAATGATTTCAATAAACTAAAATCTCTTCTTTTATTTCTTGCAGGCATCCATTTGGGACTATTATGGTCATCGGAAACATGCTTTGATGAATGACATGGACAAAACACTTGATGATGCCAATATACAGATGGACCAAGATGTGGGGTCTCTTTTTTATATTCTCTTTAGTCTTTTATACCCCCCCAGAGAGAGAGAGAGATGATGGGCTTTCTATTTCTAGTATTTTTTGATGACTTGCAGTGATGGTTTACTTGCTTTGATAATCTTACTTTACCTTTTTTTCCAAAAGAAAAATTATCATTATTGAGTGAAACTTATCTTTCCATGTATATGACTTAATAATTTTTTTAATATTAACGAATTTTTTAGATGTGTGGTTATGCATCTTTGATAGGGCCAAAGAAAATGTAGTCCTTGTGGCTAAAACCATTGGATGGGGAGTTGTATTTTTGGGGATTGATAGGATGTATTGAGGCTTTACAACCAGGGTCAAGGTTTAAAGTCCTCATAAAAATTAGGAAGATAATGTGAAGGTGTACTAAGAACATCTGTTCTTTGGTGTGTTTGACAAGAGAGGAATGCTAGAGTTTTTCATGGTTAGGAGAATCAGCTGGGAACATTGATGTGCATTATACATACAAGGGTGGCATGATTCTTCTGAGAGAAGAGTTGGCTCTCTTTTTTTTTGATGAATAGACAAGTTTTCTAATTTTTCAATTGATTTAAGTTATGAGAGCATGGTGTATTATCTCTAGATCATCCGTAGAAGACATATTCAAGTTTAAGATTGGTCCCCACCTTGGCTTCATGTTGGGAAAGGAATTCAGGGATTAGTGAGGAGCTAGAGTGGAGAGTTTGAGATATACACACTTATTGGGCTTCAAAAGTATGGAAGTTGAAGGAGATTCACAGGTTATAATCAGTTAGATGAATGGTTAGAAGGAAGGACTTTGGAATATGTGGCATCCTATTAGAGGAGCTAGAGTTCTTGTGTGTAGTTGTTTAGTCTAGAGAATAAAAAGGTCCTAGGTTTTAACTCAAACTAGAGGTAGAATTAGGAGGTCACTGAGATACAAAGAAAAATGAGAATTAAAATATTAATGTGTATGGAATGGAACAGAGAAGAAATAGGAGCAAGGATAAAAAAATGAAAGGGTAGCACTGATATTAAAATTTGTTCCTTTATTTTATTTTTGTACTCAAAAAGTTTCTGGGATTCTAGTGCAATGTGATGTTTTGCCAAAACTTTCACTAAATTTCCTGCTCCAAGTTAGGTCAAAACCTAGTCTGCAAATTTTCCTAGGAATACAGTTTTGTGAACCAAGATAGAAGATTTCAATGTAAAGTTTTAATTACATGGGCCAAAAATATAGTTGTGAATTCCAATAGAAAACATGAACTGACAAATCAATAAGTTCCAATCCAATAGTTTTAACCTCATGACAGTCTCAACTGTTCCTCCAAAGAAACTCTACCATGCTCTCTTGAGATTGGGCAAGAAGAAAACTTTCAATGTTTTTATTTTATTTTAGTTTGAGCGTATTGCTCCTGATCTGTTTGTAGGGCAGTAAATTCTGTACCAAAAGAGTTGTTGCCATGACTAAGAGTTATTCTTTCACATTAGCACAGAATCTATACCATTGCTATAGGAGCTTTGATGATAGTATTCTTGCTTTGGGAATTAGGACCTATTGCAACCATGGTAGTCTTTTGTTATTCTTAGAGTCAACTTCTTGTGTTTCATGTAACTTGTATCATTCTTTGTTTCTCTTTATTGCTGAGTTTTGATGCTTCAGATAACAGAGATAATGTCTTTGTTATCATGCATTATTGTTTTAACCTTTTACCAGATGTCCTGCCAAATTTTAACATCTATGGAATTTTCACTCCAAACAGATTCTTGTGGAGGTTGTTGGTGAGAGTAATGGTCCTGCTATTGTTGGTTCGATGAGTTCTGTACAGGGCAATGGGTCTGCAGATAAAGAGACAACTTCTGTTCTCATGGAACCTTGCAAATCAAACTTATCCATTGCAGGGGGTCTATCTGCAAGCAGAGGTGTTTCTAGGAGTTGCAGCTCAGAGTTGTCACAGAGCCAGCAGCTGGCCTCCCCCATTAGAGAAGTGGATAATTCCTATGGAACCAGTAGTGTCAGTACAAGGGGTGCTTCTGGAGGCCTCACTGGGTTGCTGAACCTTGGAAACACTTGTTTCATGAATAGTGCAATACAGTGTCTTGTGCATACACCTGAGTTTGCTCGATATTTTCGGGAAGATTATCATCAAGAGATAAACTGGCAGAACCCTCTGGGTATGGTGGTAAGTTACTAATTTAGCAAACTTTATGTAAAAATGATAGTGTTTTTCTTTTTTTGTTAATTATTAATTATTAATTTAGCAAGCTTTGTGAAGATGAAGATTAATTCTTTTGTCCAATTGCCCCAACACAATTCAAAGTTCAAACTGTGTACAAGCTGATCATTTTGCCATCTTGGTGCCATCACTGGTTGTGCATCATATGGATTTAATTTGTGTTGTTTGAGTTATTTTGGCATTATATATTAAAGGTTGTTAAAATTCCATATTTTTTGTTATATTAATATTTTTATGCATCCTTTTTGTTATCTGTTATTTCTATTTTTGCATCCTTTGACAACTCAATTAAATCTTATCCCAAATATTGCTCACACTACATGAATTCTACTCTGCCCTCCCACTCTGTCAAGGGCCATTATGCATCCTTTGGTTATGGTGCTTCATTTTTGCATCTATCTCTTCATCAATTCCACCTCTGTTGAGCTTGTCTTACACTGCTGGTCCCAAGCCTGGATAAAGGAGTGTGGTGTCAGGTTGGTATCCAACATTAATATTTTTGCCAAACCCTTGTGAACATGGATCCTAAGTTGTCTTTCTCTTAATCAAGTATGTTGGCTTGGTTAAGCATACTTAAGACCATTCATTGGGACTTTCTTAAGGGTACATTTTCTACATTTGCATCATATGAGGGATCTTATAATCGTCTATTTATAGCCTCTTAGTGTTATTTGTCCTGCTTCTATGGAGACATTGATTGTGTCATCCTTGATAGACTTGCTGAGTATCCTTCATTGGTAATATTTCACCACCCCAATGTCAAGGTTTGGTGGTTGTTGATTTTCTCTAGATGAGATTGGATCATAATTATGTCAACCTTGTACTTAAGAAATATACATCAGACTTATATTGATCATTCTTAGATATATCACTGCAGCCGATGTGGTATTGTGGTTGATTATCATCACTACTAGACACAGTTAGGTTCACCATGGGTAGGATCACCATCTGTCAATCATGATGCCATCTTTAAGACCTGTTAATCATTATAGATACATTTGCTCTCATCATCATCATCATCATCATCATCCATGCCTTATCCCAACTATATGGGGCCGGCTACATGAATCCTGTTTCACCAATCCATTCTATTTAAAGCCATATCCACTGTTAAATTATTAGTGCTTAAATCATTTCTTACTACCCATGTCCTTTTTGGTCTATCCCATGCTCTTCTAGCCCCTTCAATGTGTAAAAATTACTTCTAACTGGCACGCAGTGGGTGGTCTTCTATGCACACACCCAAACCATCTTAGTCTACTCTCTTATTTAATCACCTATTGGAGCTACTCCTAGGTTCCTACGGATAACTTCATTCCTAATCCTATCCTTTCTAGATTTTTCACTCATCCATCTTAGCCTTCACATTTCTGTCACATTCCTAATCCTATGTTATGTTTTACAATTTTATGTATATAAATTGGATTTTTGAGGTTCATGCAATTTATAAGGTACCTATTTGTTCATTATGGATTAGGCATTGGTGCCGAAAGAGTAAAGATATGAATGGGGTTGACATTGATAGAGGGTTGGAAAGGGAGTTAGAGAGGCTGCTGCTGAGAGAAGAGGTGAGGTGGAGGCAGAAATCAAGGGCACTGTGGTTAAAAGAGGGGTACAAAAACACAGCTTTCTTTCATGCATTTGCAAGTGGGAGAAAAAGGAGAAATCTGATTTGAAGAGTACAGGTAGGGGAGGAAATGGTTGAGAGCTGGGCAAGTATTCAAAATCTAGTGGTGGAATTCTATAGGAAGCTTTACTCAGGGAGGCAGTGGTGTTGGATATCCTTGGAGGAAGTAGACACAAAAAAATTGAGTGAAAGGGCAGCTGGGTGGCTGGGAGGGAGATTGAAGTAGGAGAAGTCAGGGAGGCTCTAAAAGAGGATAAATGGAGACAGCTCCGGCGCCTGGCGGATTCAACTTTAACTTCATAAGAAAGTGCTGGCACTTCCCAGAGAATGATTTTTTGGAGATGATCAAGGAATTCTGTGAAAAGAAAACAGTGGATAATAGAGCCAAGGCAACCTTTATTTCACTAATACCAAAGAAGATGGGGGCTATAAACATATAGGGTTTCAGGCCAATCAGTTTAATATGTAGCCCTTATAAGCTACTAGCCAAAGTCCTATCAATGAGGCTAAGGAAAGTACTTCATGAAGTAGTGGGGGAGACACAAATGGCTTTTATGGGAGTTCACGTCTGCCCCCCACAGAGTGCACCCCAAAAACATCCCACAGCACATCCCAACCGTGTATTGGGAACATCTCTCAATGACAAATACGGGAGGTGTTCTCAATGCACGCTGAGATGTGCATGTGGGGCGTTTTTGGGGCTCGTTCTGTGGGGGACGGATGTGAACTCCTTTTATGGAGGGAAAACAAATTCTGGACGGGGTGATGGTGGCAAGTAAATGTATAGATTCAAGGTTGAGGAGTGGAAGACCTGGTTTGGTGTGCAAATTAGACATAGAGAAAGCATATGATCATGTGGAGTGGGGATTCTTGGAAGAGATCCAAAGGCTGATGGGGTTTGGAGAAAAATGGAGGGGCTGGATGTATGGTTGTATCCTTCCATCTCATTCTCAGTGATCCTAAATGGTATCTCTTTGGAATTCTTTCAAATTTCCAGGGGGTTGAGGCAAGGGGATTCTTTGTCCCCTCTGCTATTTGTTTTAGTGATGGAAGCACTAAATCTGTTATTAAAGAAGGAAGTCCAGCAAGGGTGTCTAGGGGGTTTCAATGTAGGGGCAGAGGGACCATGCATTTCTCATCTGCAATTTGCAGATGATACTCTCATTTCTAGATGCAGTGGTGGATCAAGTCCTGAACCTAAGGGCAGTTCTAGCAAACTTTGAGCTGCTAACAGGAAGGTGAATCTAGAGAAGAGTGTCCTGATTGCAGTTGGAGAGAATCGAGAGATAAGCCTAGAAGAGATGTCAATATTTGCAGCAGCTTTAGATTGTAGAACAGGGAGCTCCCTTTTTCTTACTTAGGCCTACCTGTTGGGGCTAAACTTGGCTCATCTAGCACACGGAAACCCCTCTTAGAGAGAGTGGAGGTGAGGTTGGAAAGCTGGAAAGCAAGATATCTCTCTCTAGGGGGAAGAATTACCCTCATAAGGAGTGTGTTTCAAAGCTTACCTACTTATTACCTCACACTGCTGAAATATCAACTTATGTAGCCAATAAAATAGAAAAAATTCAGAGGGATTTCCTTTGGGAGGGGACAAAGGGTCCAAGGAAGTTTCATTTGGTAAAGTGGGAGAAAATCTGGAGGCCGAAAGCTTTAGGGTGGTTGGGTTTCAGAAGAATAAAAGTTCTCAACAAAGCTCTTATGGGAAAATGGCTATGGAGGTTTGGGTTAGAAAAGGAAAAGGAGTCATCATGGAGAAGAGTGGTGGTAGGGAAGTATGGGGTGGTGAGATTTGATTGTACTTTTTTGAGGATGGCCTTTTTTTGAGGTCCTTTATTTTGTACAGATTCTCATTGTACACAGGACCTTATATTAATAAAAGCATACTTTACCTTTTTTGTTTAAAAAAAAAAAGATTTGTATGGGAACCAAGGGAGGTATCCAACTCCTATTGGGTGAGTGTGTGGAAGAGCATAATGAGTTTCAACCAGGATTTCAGAGGCTGGGTTTGTTTTAATGTAGGAACTGGATCCCGAGTGAGGTTCTGGGAGGATGATTGGAGTGGGGTTGGGAAACTGTGTGATCTGTGCCCAAGATTGTATAGGCTGACTGAACATCAGGACTCCGTGGCCCAATGTTATGAAGTTAGTGGTGATAAGGTGGTTTGGACCCCTAAGTTTAGAAGACCTCTGCGGGACCAAGAGTTGGAGGAATGTTTTGTCTTGCTGGACAGATTGGAGCAAACCAGAATGTCTACCACTAGTGAAGATGGCCTGTCGTGGAAGGAATGCAGAAATAGAAAATTCACTGTGAAGTCATTTTACTTGGCTCTCATCAAGGATAGTGTAAGCAATGGGCAAATGAGGGGAATATGGGGAAATCCAGTGCCCCCAAGAATTGAAGCTTTTGCTTGGATGGCTGCATTGGATAGTGTTCTTACAATAGATCATCTAAAAAGTAGAGGGTTCTGTTTGGCTAGCTACTGCTATTTGTGCAAATCAGATGAGGAAACTGTACTCCATTTGTTCTTCTCCTGTCACTTAGCAAATTTCATGTGGAGATTCTATTCTTTCCTCTTTGGGATGCCCCTCTTCCAACCATCAACATCAGCAGAGTTCTTCTCTACATGGTCAAAGTTTGAAAGCTAAAATTTCCTGGTGCTGCATTCCCTTTGCAGTCTGCTGGTCTTCGTGGAGGAAAAGGACAGGAGGCTCTTTGATGGAAAGGAGAGGAGCATTGAAAAGTTGGTGGCATTGGTTGGCAAACTCATCACAAGTTGGGTCATTTCTCTTCAAGAATTTGAGCAAATCAGTACCTCAGACTTTGTTGCTGAGAATTTCTGGAACATATTAAAGATTCAAACTTGATATATGAATCAGTTTAGTCTGAACTGAAATTTGATTTTGTTTGCTTTGATTTACGTGGTGTTATCTTGACACCTGAACAGTTTGTACTCGTTTTTTATTTTAATAAAATTTTTATTGTTATTTACTCTTAAAAAACATTGATAGAAATTGGCTGGAAAATTGTTGTTGTTAGCAAGGTTCAAACTTTTGTCATGTATCGCCGATACGTATCATATTGGTGGGTCACTGATACACTAAATCAGAAAGCTTTGGGGTGAGCAGAGGGGAGTTAAAAAGAAACTGGCTGCAAATCCTGTTTACTTCCCCTTCCTCTCCAACTATACCAACTCTTCCCCCCAAGTAGGGACTATGAGTACCTGTTGCAGTTTGTTGGCAGTTTTAGAAGGTCGCCGCTTCCTCCATCAGCAGCTGGAATAGGGGGTACTGTAAGAAACTCTACTGGAGACATTTTG